GTAAAGCTTTTTAGCACAAGCCAAGGTCAGCCAGATTTCTCACTCTGGGCAGTTCCATGCAAAAGGCCCATATGCAGGGAATTAAGATTTACCAAAGTCATCTTTGTGGTCCATAACATCCACCTGTACAGAACAACTATTCCATCGATCACAAAACAAAACCATGGACAGCTCATTTTTTTAGACCATTTCTCTAATTACCATGTTAGACCCCCTTATTAAAATATTATTAATCAGAGTAAATAACACTATTTCCTGGCTAAATTGCTTCTGGAATTCTTTCAAACAGCAAAATAAGCGCTTGCTTGTTCACTGCTTTTGCCAGACCATACAATGGCTACTCTATGCTGCTTTTTCCTGATTTTAGCCTTCAACTTCCTTTGGCAAAGCAGAAATCTATTAGTTTGCCCTTAATTAAGCTCATAGAACATTAATAAAAACCAAAATGAGCAAGCTAACTCGGAACTCCTGCACTTATTGGCAGGGTTTGTGCCATTCAATCAGAATTTGACAGAGGATCTAAAACAGGTAAGGAACAAGCAGGCACTCAAGGATGAAGCAGGAAGATAATGTGGAACCCCAAGTGTTTAATTCACAGGAAAAGTTCCACAAAGGATTCTGGCTTTAAGTCCTGGGGAAAGAGTCAGACAGATCTCTGCTTACTCACAACTGAGAGAAACCCAGCCCTAAGCAGCACCAGCAATCCAGGCCGACAGGTGACAGCTGCAGTATTTGCTCATCAATGACCACATCTGAAAACCTGCTTAAAAATGTACAGGTTTCTGGCTTAGCCAGCATAAAACAGATGAGAGGAAAGGCTAATGATGGAGATGGATGGGAGAGAAGGAATGAGAATAATTTCACTGTGCACTTGAAAGCAGTCAAGTAGTTTCCTCTTGAATTACATGAGACCCTTTTCCCCTGCAAAAGAAAGCTTCTTTTCTCCCCTGGACTCAGTGGCTGGTTTTCCTTCACAGCTCAAGAGGCTGTTTCAACCACTAATTGCTTCTGGTTAGGAAAAAAAATATTTATTCCACAAGCATGGCTCTCTGCCTTGAAAATGTGGAAAGGTCAGAGTGCTCGAGGAGCTTTCTGTTTGTTTTCTATCAATAACAGAAGGCACGAGCTGACAGCCATGCAGATACCCAAGTCAGCTCTAAATCCAGGGAGCTCCAGAAATGGAAACAGCCTGGTTGTCATAGCAGCAGAGCAGGATACCTGAGCTAATTACTCAGTCTGAGAGGCAGAGATAATTAGCCCTGATGCAGCATCACACTGACACAGTTATAATCCTTCTGGGACCTCTCGTACATATTGCTGATTAGACATTTCAGTTTGCCTGCAACCAGCTCACAGAGCTCAGCACTCAATGCTGTGCTTTATATAAACATTCAAAAGAAAAAGAGAAAAAAGGGAGAAACCAAAAATTTGTTCCTACAAAGAAAGCAATGGAAAAGAGCTCACAAAAATCCCCAGAAAACTCTGAACACTCAAATGTAACACTTCTGCAAGGGAGGAGGGTGCCTGAATCTACAATGCTGCAGACCAAAGTACAACAATGGAGATGGAAATTTCAGTAGTGTGGATACATCTCCACCCCAGTCCAGTGGCATTTAATTGAAAAAAGTGCTTTATCATTACAACAAGTTAATGTCATAAAGTTCCCTGTTACCTAATAATGAAAACTCTGAAATTTTACTCCTGCTTTAGAAATAAGTAAATACACCACCACCTGCTTTGCAGATTGTAAATCCCATGGAAAATAAACACCAACTACCAACAGACATACCTGTTTTATTTTCAAGGACTGCAAACAGCATTTTTGCTGGTTTTCCACAAAGAAGTAGTATTTTAACACTTACCTTTTCACCTTTCTAAGATACTATCTTATACAAGACCCTCCCTCTAGAAGGAGCAACACATTTTAAAAGGGTCAGAAAAAAAAAGTGAATGAGTGAATGTATCAGTCGTTGTTAACCATTTTTCTTCCACAGAAAGTCAACATAATATGATGGAAAAAGACTACACAGATAAGCTGTGAAAGACAGGGACTTTTTTGTATCCTCAAAAGGAAAAAGCAAGCAAGATAAAGACTTCTTTGTAATCAAAATTAGCAAAGGCAACATATGTACAGATTGAGCAGGCAAACGAGAGGAAGGATGACATGACAAGTGACCAACTCCCATGCAAATGTGCTTATTGAACTGAGATGTTTTGACAGTTCAATAGAAGAAACTTCTCATTTACACCAAATACCACTCTAAAACCACAAAGATTACTGGAGTCACACTAAAATCTAATCTCCTGCGTTTTTAATGGACATACATCAAATAGATAATCAGAAGAGTTGACAAAGGACAGATATGCTTGAATATTTATTGAATGCATATTTATTGAATTTTAAATTCCACAGATCTTTTAAATTCACCTGCATAAGCCACTAATTTAACAATTGTTAGTACTAACAATTTACATAATACACCTGCTTACTCATATTTACAAGAGATCACTTCTCATTTCAGCAACAGCTCCAAGCAAAGCTGGAAGACGCCAAAAGGTTCATTCAAGCATCTGTGCTGCCCAAGAGAATGGGACAAATACATAAAAATCAATGTTTCTCTGAATAGAGGGGTATTTTTTCAGGGTCACTGGTGTTGCTAAATGAAACAGTTCGGTGCTTCAATTTCTAATTAAAGCCAGTAAATGGACACACACACTTCCACCTGCTCAAAACTTCTGAAAGACACATCAAGCTAAATGTAATTTACATATATTTAGATATCAATTGATTCTAAGCACTATTGAATGGTAGATTTATAAACCTAGGATCACAATTTCCTGAGAAACTTAATCCCAAGTTAGCTGTCCTCCTCCCTTCAGTTAATGATCACAAATTTTGGTATATTATCAGTCTGCATTTAGATCCGACTTTGGGAAAAGAGGCTGGTGAATACAAGACAATGTTAGAGGAGCAAATTGAAAAGAAGAAAATTAAGGAAGATAAAGCAATCATTGAGATTCACAATGGGTGGTTATTTATGAGGAATAGAAATAAGGAAAAATGTCAACTAAGTCTCTAAAGGGAAATAAGGATGTCATAACATGATCATCCCATGAAAAAGAATCTTTGTCTCCCTCACAAAACACAGAACAACCCCCCTATTTCTCATTTCCATTAAGGACAGCTTAGTATGCACTTTACCTTAAGTGGAGTACCAATAAAATCCACTCTCTTCTGATAAGCTCTTATTTATTCTAGAAAACAAGTATATTACTGGAACCTGGACAGAACTGCACTGTTTGCCAGGATATTAACCCTGTTCTACAGCTGTTACTGTAGCCACTGCAAAGATTCCAGCACAGAGATAAATCTCCCACACACACTATAGACTTGGGAGATAAGAAGTTTTTGCTTCCTTTCTCCTACCATTGCTGTTTGGGAGCAGAAGGCACTGAAAGAAGCTCAGCAGAGATAGCCTGGGATCCAGAGCAGAGCAGTGAAAATGAAAAGTCACCATTCAAAGAAAAGCCAAGTCAGTCAATGACATCAGGCACTCGCAGTGCTGCTGCCTCCCAGCCAGTCTCAGAGAGCTTTTCTGGGAAGCACTTGCTCCAGCAGCATATGGCTGACAGTGGGCATTCAGCCTGCATCACTCACCAACAAGGGCTTTAAAAACTAGCAGTCTGATCAGAGTGCTGCTTTCTCTAATGAGGAGCAAGAAAGGGAGAATAAATTAGAGAGCAGCAGGGGAATGAAGATATTTATGACATGCCTTTACCAAAAGCTTGCATCAACAATATAAACATATGGCCAAAGATGCCTTTGGTTTAATGCTGCCCAAATTCTTGTGGGGTTCCTTTTTTTTCATATATAAACTTCAGGAGAGAGTTAAAAAAAAAAGAAAAAGCACAGAGAATACTACTACTTTCACAGGAGCTGCCAAACACAGCCGAAAAATGTTTCATGGTCTCTGTGTGAACAGTGCAGACACTGACACAGGCTGGTAACCTAAGCTCTCACCTTCAGCCCTTTTAGAATGCTCCCAGAGCTTCAGTCTTTCCTGTCATCCACAAAACAACTTTATTTCCTTCAGCTTTGAAAAAGGGTTGCTGAAGCTGCTGATGGTTCCTATTTCTTTTCTCTGATGCTTTTAACTGCTCAAGACTTCACCTTATACCAAAGAAGGAAGAAAAAGGACTTCTATCCAGACTGTTTGATGCTTAAAGGTGTGTTCCCACATCAGATACAAAAAGAAGAAAAAGAATTTCTGAACTGTGGATTATTTTCAACTCTATTCCAAGCATCAGAAAACAGTAAATATTTTGGTTTTGGGCACTACAGAGGGACTAGAGCTCTCTCTTCAAGGCTGAGTTAACAGAAAAAAACACATGAAAAATTCATTAGAAGGCACAGTGTGGCAACAGAATGCTGGAGTGGCTGACTGCTGCATGCCTGGCAATGGAGACTGCTTAAGAAGGGTATAAAAGGCAGGGCACTCGCTGCTGACGTGATAAAGGATCACAGAGGAACAAATAACACTGATGCTTCATCCACAGGAAATCTTTCTTGCTGTGAACTGAAGCCTGATTCCTTCCTCTTCAGTTAAAAAAAAAATCATTTTCCTAAAAAGAAAGAAAAAATATCAAAGTTAAGGTATAGTCACCTACTATTTTTTTCAATTTAAAAATTGGGAAGAAACAGAATGGGAAAATAAAGCTATGCCTACCTGGAGTACCAGATCTTTTGTCTCTTGCAGATGATGAGTAGAATGTCTCTGTGAGGATTTGTACACTTTAGCATCATGACAGCAAAGTGAGAAAGAGAAAGGGCAGCCCTTGACAAACAAGCTTTAAATCAAGTAATTCTGGAATGCAGACAATATTTCTATACAAACCAAGGAGCACCAATCCAAGAGTCTTCCCCATCTTTAGAGCATTTGCATTAACACACGTTTGTAGGTCAGATTTATTCTATACAACTTGTTTCCCATGTTCTGTACCTCGACATCCTGAACACTGGATAAAGAAGTTGATTAAATCCAGAAGTGCTATGTCCCTGTCTTGTTTATATGATTCAATCCAGTCGTCCACCACAGACTGTCAAGAAAAAAAGAATACTTATCAGAGACTCTTAAAAAGTGTTTTATTAAAGGCAAATAACTTATTCTTTTCAGAATATAATTTTATAACTGAGCATTTATTTTGCATAATTATACATGTGTACAAATAGAAATATCTATGCACCTTCTCTCAAGGTGGAGACAGAACAAATATTGTTAGACAGCAGAATTATATGCATCATTTTCTGGTATTATATTGTATAAACACAAGTTCAAATTGAAATTACTGTAATTCCCCAAAACTACTTAGAGAATTTTTTCAGTTTTAAAACTGTGTTGAAAAAAAATAAATATTGTTACTCCATTCAGAATGACCAACATATTCCCAGAAAACTGATGAATAGAAATACTTTGAGATGAATACTGATTTTATATTGCATAGTGAATATCCCAGTCAGTCACTCAGGAACAGTGTAAATAGTTCAGGAAAACAAAATATACTGAGGAATACACAGTAAATAAAATAACACACAGAAGTTTGACTTAGGGTGTTTCTAAGCTACCTGGATCACAGGACAGGAAATTCAGTCAGTTTTCAACTGCCCTCAGAACTACAGTCAGCCAGGAGCTATTTTCATCATCTCTGATATTCCAAGCTCCTCAGCTACATCAACACTGTAGGTAAGGAATTGTGTATATTTAATGTAATCAAATATTATGCTTTACTTTTTTATGAGGGAAAAGAAACTTTTCTGTTCCATACATGCAACAGCATTCATTAGGAAAAGCTTGATTATGTTATCAGATCACACCTTGCAAATAGATTAGTTTATTCTGGACAGTTCAGGTCTACAATGAATTTCTATTACATTAAATTTAAAAAGCCACACACACATACAAACACCCCACCATGTCCACACAACTGGCTTCTATCATGCTGAAAAGGAATCAATAGGAAAGACAAAAAATTCCAAACAATTTGATCTCTTAGAAAAATCTGCCTTTTTCTTAATTAGCTGTAAGGAGGGATCTTGAAAAATCCCTGTGCAGTTTCCAGTTTATCCAAGTGCAAACTCCCAAGCCTAGCCCTGGCAGGTGTGTGAGGAAAAGGAAGCAGCAAAGCACCTGGGACACAGGGACACAGGGAGAGACACAGGGAACTCTGTTTCCCAGAGACCCAGGGAACTCTGAACTGAGCCAAAGCCCTCCATGCCTAACACACATCACTGCAGCCACCCCTGAGCCAGGGCGGAGCAGCAGTACTAGCATGTTATCCAACAACCAGCATCAATCTCCAAACACCCAACTGGCCAGGAAACTCAGTTTTCACAGGTTCTGCCTCACAAAACACACACACACACCCAGTAGGAGAAGCAATCTTAAAAAGGAGTCCATCTGCTACTTAGAAGAAATTAGAAAGCAAGTCTTGGCCTCTAATTAAGCTTCACACAAGATGAGGAAGCAGCAGCACAAAACCAGTTATCTAGAATGTTATCTCACTGTTATGTCATCGTGAATTCAGCCCTGTTCCTGGAAGTATCAATCATTTCAATCAATCAACAAAATTTCTCCAGGGCACAGAAACCAAATGTAGCCAAATGCAAAAAGTATTTACTACACCAAACATTGACAGAGCTTAATGACCAGGCTGTTGGTGTGCTACCAATTTACAAGATTTGTTTGAACAGCTCTATTACTGTAGATATCAGAACATGCAATTGCCAGAGCTATTTTTTACACCAAAGAAAATAGCAGCTGTGCAGGGCCAGGAAATAGCAGCTGTACAGGTTCACCTGCCCAACAGGGCTTACACATGCAGGGAAAAGCATAAGAAAAGGGCAAGAATACACTGATATTTCTGAGTTACTGTCCCAGATCCTTAAGACCCCAGCAAATTTCTTCTCTCCTGGATGTGTCTGTCTAACCCAGCTTTATATCTACACTATCTCACAGCAGTGTGTAAGGGCTAGTTATTCACTGCAAAATCAAAGAATAGTTGTGTTTTAAACTTGCCAATTGTTAGATCCATTTGATGTGACTCAATTCTTATGAAACAAGAAAACACAAATTCCAGCCCCTTGTTTGCATTTTCCATGCTCCCATCTGGTCACTTCTTTCCAGGCAGAATAATCCTACCCTGTGCCATGTGGCTTGCCCAGAAATAATTCTGTATCTTTATTCTTGCCCACTCTTGTCACACATCTCCTGACAGTTTCTGAAGTCTACTATATTCTTCTTTGAGCCTGGGAAATCTCAGCTGCTTTCCTAGAGTGTTAATATCTATTTTCCCAGCATCTGTTCATTACCCACAGCTGAGTTTCACAGAAAACATTCCCCGTGGAAGTAAGGCTGGCCCAAGAAATTCCCTCCCACGTTCAGTCTTACTCCTGTTTGTTGCTACAACACACTGCCCCTTCAGCCATGCCACTGCAGCCTCTCATGGACTGTGCTATAAATACTGCCAATGAACCCATCTGGACTTAAAAATGGGGAGCCAAGGAAAAAATGTGAAGGAATACCTTTACATTTTGCTTCTGTTTCTTTTATAAAATTATTTAAATTATTTTTGCGGCACTATCTCAAACTGCAGCATCAGTGCAGCTCCTCTCATTTCTATTTTTTATCTGTCATAGAAAAAGAATTGTGTGGGACATTGTGTCCTTGGGCACTGGGGGCTCACTCTGTCCTACCAGCGTGGCACTTGCACCTCAACCCAAAACCATCATGCAGTTTACAGAGAAATAAAGACAAGTGGCTCATCTCCAGACCTGGGGACCTGACTTGAGGCAATGCAGTCTTCAGTGGCAGCAGTAGGTAAGAAAAGCAGAAAAATCAGAGCAAAGGTTCTCAGAGGAATAGCAGGCAAAGACTGTCCTGACCTCCCAGAGAAGTGACAAAGCTGGAAGTAAAATCTGAATTTGTGAGTAGGGTTCCTTTGCTCTAAGCTGGCACGCACAAGCTCTCAGTGCCTTGGCACTCCCCACTGTGTGACACAGCCAGGCACCGTCAGGGTAACTCCCTGCTGAGAACAGGTACCTGTGAGAGCTGGACAAGGGAATTGAGCTGCCAGTGTTGTGTTTACCCCAAGAGAGCCCCACTGACTGAGGGGCTGCAGCAAACAAGTCACACACAGGCACCTGAGCCAGCATCTGCACAGAGCCACACAAACTGCATTCACTAAAAATCAGTGCCTCAAAACAACAGCCAGAGCCCCACACACTGAGCCCCTGTGCACACTTGGCATGCTGGCTGCCTCACTTTGTTAGAGATTACAGTTTAAGGCAACAGGAGATGATGAAGCCAGACTACATATGCTACAACAGTTGGAACTCAATCAAACTGTTGACTTTTGATGTAACTGAAAAGAGCTATAAAGACTGAAAACACTAGATGAATAAATAAAAATGACACACATCAGACCCAAAAGAGAGACCAAGTATCAACTGAACCAAGACAAAACAGCAGTAATGCAAATACCAGGAAAAAAGACTCAATACAAGCAAAAAAGGAATCAAACCACAGGCAGCAGTGTAGCAAATGGTGCAACATGCAAGCCTTGCCAGAAATGGAATTATTTTGCATAAATATGCATAGAGAGAAGGACTCCTATTAAAACCAAAGATTTCTAACCAACAGGCCCCAGGTAACAGCAAATCCTCTTTTTATGCATAATCCAAGAGCAAACTCAGGGAAATGGCCCACATTTGATCCCCTTGCCCAGAGACCTCCTGTTCTTGCCCCACCCTGTCACCTGTCCCAAGCACAGACCATTAACACCTTGAAGGCACAGGAGTGACAGGAGGGAAAGACCAGGTGGCCCTTTCAGAAAGGAGGTAGCTACAAGCAGGTTCCACCCTCCAGAATCCATCTCCACAAGTCTCCCTGCTTACTGCCACAAAACACCTAAGAAATAGGGCAGCAATATTGCATGAGCTACTCCACTGGTACCCTTCTGCTTCCAGATGTTTTTACCTACAGATGCAGTGGGGAGCAGGGATTTACCATATGGAAATGGGCACTTACATGCTGTGCATGAAATCCATGATAAATTCAGCACAGGACCTGCAGGACACGTGCTGCAGCCTGCCCAGGGGCAGCACATCCATGCTCTTGGGACTCACCAGCTTCAAGGCACACACACAAGGAAAAGGCTCCCTTGGCAATGAGCTCAGTTCCACAGACAAACCTCCAAATGACTCCAGTAACACCAACAGCCTTCCTCCACTCCCTGCTGTCAGGACACAACTGGACACATACACACACTTACATACACGCACACAGACACACGTGCACCACATCTCTGGGTCAGTCAACAAGTCCATACAGGTACATCACAAAAATAACTCAACCATTTTTTAAAATGATGAAATTGCTTCTATTCTTATGAGAACTGAGTAAAAAAATCAAGGATTCCTGCAAATGGCAGATGATGTATGGTACAAATACAGAGTCTGTACAAAGATTTTCCAAAGCTTGCAGTGGTTTTCAAAAGAATCTCACAGAAATGAACTCTTTGATGAGTCTGTTTTAAGAACTACCACAGAGCATAATTTGAAGAATATGCCAGGTAAGCAACTCTACAGAAATAAGAAGCCTAAATGAAGTCAAGCAAATAGCAGAATAAATGAGCCTGAGTAAATAACTTCAAATCAATCAACTTGCAGAAATATTGACCTTCACATCTCAAAGTCTGCTAAAAGATAAACCAAAGCATTTTATGGTACTGAGGAGGAACAGCAGCTTGGGGTTGCCAGTAAAAGCAAGTCAGAGGCAATGAATGAAATAATGAAGTGAGTGATCCTATTACCTCCTCTAGGCTTTGCAGCTATGAATCCATTTCATACTCCTCCAGTGAGAGAGAATTTAGGAGCATGAAGTGCTGGAGGAAGCAGAGGGACTGACTGCAGAGGACACCTTGCCAACTCATGTAAATTAGCACAGTCCCACTAAATATTAATGAAAGATGATTTCAAAAAAAGCTATTTCACAATTTCAATTAAGTAACAATCTGGCAACAGTGCTACAAACAAAAAGGAA